ATTTATCATTTACAGCTAACTCATCACCACTACACTTTATATAAACTTTATATTAACATTCTAATTCTTCCCATTTGGCAATGTTTGCTAGAACCTAGACAACTAGAGGTGAGATGATGGGTAAGTCCTATAGTTTTATCAAACTCAATTTATTATGAGGCAGACATATACTCAAAAAATAAGTTCATTATTAATGATATGTATAAGCTCTAGAAATGAAAATATTGCATGCTTTGATAGGCATGCAATACTGAAGGACCTAGTCTAGCAGTGAGTTCAGAACATCCTTAAGGTGATAACATTTATGCTGAGCTATAAAGGAGGAGACAGAACCTGTCCTGCTAGAATGATTTCTAGGCAAACAGAAGAAAATGTGTAAGTGAGGTGTTAAGGATGGCTAGTTTATAAAATTTGGTAACTTGCCAACAGAAACTGATAGAACACATTTTGTTAGCATTTGCCTAAGACACTTGCTAGGAATAGGAGAAAAATGTGAGAGTGATGCCTAGCTGGCTTAATGAAGGGTAATCCTGCTTTAGCTGAGAAGGAGTAGTTGCAATTTCAACATCAGAATCTGGAAAACTATTTCAAGGAAAAAGTTGATGTAGTAAAAGAAAAGAAGAAACAATTTAATTTACTGTATTTCTTATCCCAGGTGAAAAAAAGAACTTGAGAAAGTGGAGAAGATATCACAAGAGGGTGAACCCATTAATCTAATATGTACAAATGCCTACAAAACATTTTCAAAAAATTTCACTTCTAATCCCATAAAAGGAAAAGGATTGCTGCCATCTGAAGAAACCTAGAATTTGTAAATATACAGAAATGAGACTGGAACAGGTAGAGCAGAGAGGGAAAAATCTTTGCTGTCAATCAATATTTGTTAAAATGAATGAATAAGAATTCAGAAGACAATAAACACTGTTAGTTTTTCTGATGCATCACAAATATAGATTTTTTATGGTTTGCCTCATCCTTCCTCTTCTTTTTATTTATTTTTTATTACAATGATTTTCATATTTTGTTTGTTGTAAGATAAATGTGACAAATAAAAATAAACTGGTGGCAGAAAGCATCCTAATAAAAAGTGGTTTCTCAACTATTTATAGTTTATTGTATATCAGGCAATATATGAAATGTTTTACATATATAGGTATCTCATTTAATTCATCACAACCACCTTTTGACCAATGAACCTATTATACATGTATGATAGAAATGAGGACACTGAAGCCAAAGAAGACAAATAATTCTACACCAAATGTTACATAATAGGAATGCCAAAGGCAATTAAATAGGTGCTAAGTCTCTTAGAGTCATTCAATCTATTGTCTGAACATAGAATATATGTTGGATCTCAGGGGATAGCTAGAGAGGATGAACGAAAACATAATCCCAATCTTCCCTGTGTATGTGTGTGTGTGTTTAGCCTAGGTTATTTTCTCAAAAGAGAAGAGAACAAAGTTGAACTAGAGTAGGGGAAAAGATTAAAAAAGGGAATGTGACAATTCTAATACCAGTTTTTATAAACGGATAAACCAAAAATACACCAGATACACCAGCAGTTCTAAACGTTAATGGCACTAGGATGTCCTGCAGTAGAACTCTAGTTAAAAGGGATTGCTGCCCCTGCGTCAAGCTCCAGTTTCTGTTCAGTAGGTTGGGGAGAGGTGTGAAATCTTAAAATACGCATTTCTAACAATTTCTCAGCTAATGCTCTTGGTCCAGGGACCATAATTTGAGAACCCCTATAGTATAATAAATAAATTTACTCTTATACAGATATAGTAAATAAAACCACACTAGAACATAAATGAAAGTATTCCTCTGGGAGTGAAAGATATTGAATTCTATAGATTTTAGAAGATTTTTTCCTTTATATTTTTAAATATAATATTTGATACAGATTTCTGTGTATTTAAATTATAAAACTCACCTACTTCTCATATCAAATTCATATAGTGAGTGTCAACAAATATAACTGATAAACTTCCTTTAATATTAAACTCTTTATTTTCATAATTGTCAAATATTCTTATTAGATTTAATTTCTGAAGACTATACAACTTTCATAATTAACACAATACAGCTAGGTTAAATTTTGAGTATTTTTTACACATTGCTTATTTCACAATTTTTACTGGCAAATAAACAATACTATTCCAAAGAATAATGTAAGAGAATATATGACATTGGACAAGAAAAGTAATTAAAATTTTCTAAGATACATGGTAAGACTACTAAGAATAGAACACAAGAATATTACCCTAAAGTCATTAATTTTAATTCTTTTATTAAATAAAGAAGGTATAAAAATCTAAGACTGGGCTAGACCCTTCCAAAAAAGCTTTTGAAAATAATGACAAAATAGACTTTTATGATATTTAAGTGATACAATGAATATTAGTAATGAAGTAAAATCTTACCCAGATCTCGTCGTTTTGAACTCCACCTTGAGGATAGGTTTGCATGGTTCTGGTTTCTTCCCGTCCTTTAACTGTTTTCCTAAAATATATTTTCCTACATTTAATTCTAAAATTCTACGATACTCTAAATTCTTGCATTGACAATTTATGAAATGAAAGTGAAATGTAATGAAATTCACCATGAAACATTTCAAAATGATTTTAAAAGATATATTTAATATAAAATACGATACTTTTAAATGATCAGGCAAAATTCAGTTTGAAATTCACTGCTGAAAATCAGTAAAATAACATTTATGTAATAAAATTCTACTATGAAAAAATGATAGTCTTCTCAATGTTCTTCATTATAGATAAGCAAAAGAGAACCTCAGTTTGCTAAATGAATTCAAAATTTAAAAAAAATGAATCTATATTACATTTTTATCCAGGTGTAACAGGCTATAAGATTAAATCCTATTTTAACAAATTCATTTATATTTATCCTCCTAAGTAAAATCCATTCATTATAATGTATAAAAGCTACTAAAACACACAAATCTCTATAAAATGTCAATAACTAATTTTGTAAAATAATTTTGATTTTGAATTTTGATATTTGCAAAATGTTTGAGATTTCAGTTATCTATTTCTAGATATTCATTGTAGAAACCACAAAAAAATTAAAAAAAATAAAGAAATAAAACAAAAATCTATTTTATCTCTTTTTTTAGTAATAATTACTCTCAACACTATTATACTTTTGGCAAATCACCAAACATGGGAATTGCCTTGGAAATCTCTGACACATACTCCTACCCTAACATTTCTTATTTGCTTTCATACTTTTATTTTTTCCTCTATAACACTTATTCTAAAATACTTTATATTTCACTGCTTTATTTTATTTATTTTTGTTGTTGTAGTTTGTCTAACAAACTAGAATGTAAATTCTGGGTAAGCAAAAATTTTTAGTGTATATTTTCCCTGTTGTGTCTCTAGTGGCACAAACCCTTTGACATATAATGGGTACTCAATAAACATTCAATGAGCAAATAAATTAATAATTATTTCCTTGGGATAAATTCCTAGAAAAAGGATATCTGGGTAAAACAGTATTCCAGAAATGTGCCTGTTTATACTTCCATCAACAATCTAAGAGAATATTTTGCCAAGGGCCAAGATACCAGAAAGATATAACATTTATGAACAAATTAGCACCAAAAATAATGGCACCAAAATATATGAAAATTAAATGTCTAAAATATAAGAGGGAAAATAGACATAATAATAACAGTTGGAAACCTCAATATCTTACTTACAATAGTGTATAGACAACCAAAAAGGAGGTGAACAAAGAAACAAAATTTGAACAACTTAAAACAACTTAGAGCCAACAAATATTAATAGAACATTTCATCTAACAGAAACAGAATATAATTTTCCCAAGTACATGCAAAACATTTTCAGGACGAACTGCATATTAGACCATAAAATAAATCTCAATCAAATTTAAAAGATAAACATACACAAAATAAGTTCTTCAACCAAAACAGAATGAAATTAGAAATCATTAGCAGGAAAAATAATAGAGATTCTAAAAAATATGTGAAAAGTAAACAACATATTGCTAAATAAACAATGGGCTATAGACAAACATCAAAAGAAAAATCGTGCTAGGTGCTATAACATATGTTAGTAATCCTGGAAACTTGAGAGGCTAAGTCAGGAGGACTCTAAATTTAAGGACAGCCTCTGCAAGTTAGGGCCTGTCTCAAAATAAAAAGGGTTGGAATGGGGCTAGGGTTGTGGCTTAGCAGTAGAGCGCTCACCTAGCATGTGCAAGGCACTGGGTTCGATTCTCAGCACCACATAAAAATAAATACAATAAAAGTACTATACAACTAAAAAAAAATGATCTGGAAAGTAGTTCAGTGGTAAAGTACCCTGGGCCAATCCAATACCACAAAAAGAAAAACAAACAAATAAACAAATTAAAAAAACAGGAAGAAGAAAAAGATAAATCAGGAACTACTTTGAAATAAAATAAAATAAACCCTTTAGCTACACTTACCAAATAAAGAGGCAAAAAACTCAAATCATAGGACCAGATAAAGAACTGTAAAGAAATCTATGAACAACTGCATGTCAACAAATGAGATGCCTTAGAGGAGATGAATAAATGCGCAGAAACATAAAATTATTAAAATTGACTCAAAAAGAAATAGACAATATGAATAAATCTACAACAAGTGAAGAGACTGAAAAACTAAAATAGTTTTGAGTTTTAACAGATCTATAAGGAAATGCATAAATTTAAGTATATAATGAGTTTTGACATAACTATGTACCTGCAAGCACTACTTATTGAGACTTCATTGTTTTCCCATTGATAGGAAATGTTAGCTGTACTATATGGCTTTTATAAATATGTCTATAATCTGTTGGTAAAACATGTAATCTTGTCTTAATTTAAGATCCTAGGATCATCACTTTCCTTCCTTCTGAAGAAATGATGGTTCAGTGGACCCTGAATGTCCAAGAGGAAGCTCAATTTTCAGAACCAAGAAGAGATTAGTGGTAGATAAGATGTAAGGACTGGAAAGGAATGTAGAAGGAAAATTTGACTATTGAGGTAGGAGAAAAAAATAAGAAAAAAGAAAGGTATAAATAAAATTCTAAAAAAAATTACAAAGCTCTAATGGAAGTGTCAGACTGGTATAATTTGGACTCATAAGCCAGGCACTATGAGTGGCACATGTCTATAATTCCAAAGACTCAGTAAGTGGAGACAGAAGGATGAAATGTTCAAGGTCACCCCAACAACTTATAGTAAGGCCCTAAGCAAAGATGCCATCTCTAAATAAAAATTAAAAAGAGCTAAGGATGTAGCTCAGTGTTAAAGTATCCCTAGGTTAAATTCC